ACGCGCGCGCACACACACACACACACACACACACACACACACACCAACATGATGTAGGGAATCCCTCATTGAGACTCTCAGGTGATCCTGGGTTGTGTCGTTGCCAACTAATGCTAACCATGACATGTATCACGGGCAATGAAGACACAGTTCCACACCAGAGCTCCCGCACAGGTAAAACTGAAAATTCGTGGCTTTAATGAAAAAAAAAATGAATCTCAGGATGAGAGGAATATGAAGGATAGTTGGATTTATTAAAAGCAGAAAGAAAAATGCTCTAAGAGACAGTGAAGAATTCTGCAAAGGACAGTTGTGTTGATATTTTCTCCCTCTAGTATCAGTCCAATTGGACTGATTTTTCTCCACCCAATCAGGCCTCCACAAACATTATGAAATAACCACTCCAAGACTTAATATTTATTTATAATTGTTTGGCCATTGACTTAGACCTCTTAATGGCTAGCTCTTTCTTAATTATTAACCCATAACTATGTATCTGTGTATCTTTATGCGGTCTTATTTTACCGGAGAATACCTATCTTTCCAGTAGCTACCTGACATCTGTCTGACTCTGTCTGTCACCTCTCTCTATCCTTGTTTGGATTTCCTGCCTGGCTAAATTCTGCAGGTCCATTGACTGAAACAGCTTTATCCATCAACCAATAAGAGCAACACATATTTGCAGCATACAGACATTCCACCTCACAGCTGTGGGCCTTTCAAGGGAGAGCTGAGGTCGGGTTTCTTCATAGTGGGTCTGTGATAGGATTTTGCTAGCACACCTTACACCTCTAAGGGTTGCAAAGATGCTCTTCTTGCTTTTTTCTAACATTGACTAAAGAGTGGAATTTGCATTGGTTAAAAATTAAAGAAAATTTCTCAGTGAACAGAATTTCGTGGTGGACTTCGGAGGGGCATTATTGAGGTCTGGGGGAGGAGTGCGTTGGCAACTAAGCTTATATGTCACTTTTGCCCTAAGTAAACATAGCCCAATTACCATCCTTGACAGCCATGGCTGGGGCATCTTTGGGAATGCATCAGCTAGTCCTCAGTAAGCACAGTTTAGTCACTGTTTTAGACAAGATATTTTTTGGAAACAATATATTGTCTCTGTGGACCATTTAATCCTTATCAGTGGTGTCTAAAGTCCCCTGCCTTTGTCAGCAGATGGGAATTAGGAGGAGACCCTCCTTCATCTCCCATGATGATGTCATCATAATTGTTTGTTTTTTCTACCCTGTCTCATATGGAAAAGGAAACAGGAGACAGGGCAGGAATTAGGGCCTGGTTATGAACCTCAAAGACTACTCCCAGTAACCCACTCCTTCCATTAAATCTCCATCTTCTAAAAGTTCCACAGCTTCCCCAAATATCACCACCAGTGGGGAACCAAGTATGAAAACGTGTTTCCAAGGAAGGGAGGCATTTCATGTTCAAACCATAACACTTAACTTCTGTGAATATAATTTCTTTCATTAAAATGGAACCAAATGTTTGTCATATAAAATTATAATGTTGAGTGAAAGATAATATTTAAACAGAACTTTCCCTAGTGTTTAGTTGTCCCTCTAGAGAAACAAAACAATGTTTGCAGAAAATCAAATTAGAAACTGGAATTTTTTTAATGGTGACTTTAAAACTCCAGCCACCTGTTTCTGCAAAGACCCTAGATCAGTAGCAATGAGTAGATGAGCTGTGCTGTGGCCGCCCCTAAGGAGGTGAAATTGTATCTAGAGACTTATTTGAAAGACTCACTAACAGCATTAATCTTATGCTGAATTTTACAAATACAGATTTTTTTTTTATCTCCAGTTACTACTACTTGTTAAATCTTTGTTAATGTCCATCTTGAAGCCAAAAGAATGTGTTTCTCTACAGTGGGATAGACCAATAAGTTGTGGTAAATTACATTGGGTAACAGAAAAGCCTAAAAATCACACATGCTAAAATGAGAAATACAGACTTGCCACAGAAAGAATGAAGATAGCTCACTGCTCCTTGGGGAAGATTTTGTAATGATGTCTGAGCATTTATAACTGTCTTACAGAGGCACGGAGCAAATGCATGCTGTGGATTTGGAGTGGCACTAAATGCTTTCACAGAGCTGTAGCTAACACCCTTCTTTCTCCTATAAATTTCTCACTTCACACTTGTGTTAACTAGGACACTTAGGTTCATGAAACTTCAACATCTTAAAATAAACTATGAAATAAGTTGATAATGGAAACTTGATCTATTTACAATTTATCCAAGTAAGAGAGAAATAGTTTTGCAAATTAAAAGAGAGATGATCTAATAGCAGAGGGGCTCAAGCATTAAATTCATACTTCTCATTGTCTACTTCACTTATTTCTTTACTTTATAATCACAGCTAAAGCAAGATGAGCTTTTTATCAAATCTCTCCTCATGTTCACTTGCTACAGTGTTGGTTGTGATTTTTTTTTAAAAAAATTTACATTACTAGTTCCAATTCCTTTCTGCCCCATTATGTTTTTCCCTGGGAGTCAGGGAACAGTGTGTGCAGCTTTTGTTCCACCCATGTTATCACGCTGGAGCCCAAAATAGACTAATTTCAGTAAAATAATAACTTCATGCATCAGTACATCTTTCTTCGTTTTATACTAAAAAAGTCAATTCTCAGGAATCAGGGCAGTAATATTACATGAAAAGACTAGACCCTACCTATTAATCCTCTTTTTATTAAAAGCCTGTGGATGGACATAAAAACAGAATAAAAAACAAAATTTGATAATCCAGAAGTCAACTTGTTCTTCTATCCAAAGCTTGAAATAAAAATAAAAAAGAAAACTAAGATAGTGTACATACACACTTAGTTATAATTTATAATATTAACTTTAGTTTAATTTTATTAGATTTTCATAGTTCTTAATTTTATTTATTGATTTATTAATTGTGTTATTTATTGATTTATTAATTGTGTCAACTCAACTCAGCCACCTGACCATCTAGAGACTCACTGAATGAATTCAGGTAAAGCACACAGAGCATACTGTGGAACCGGTGAGTTTATTACAGAGAAAAATAGAACATGCTTAAGTCATTGTCCTGACTATATAGTATATAGACCATATGCCCTATCTGTCTCTAAAGCTCTAGAACCAATAGCTTCTTATGAGTAGCATTTTCTGTCTATAATCCCATGTATTCCATCTGACTAGCATGCAATAAAACTTAAAACTGTCATCAAATAAAACTCTACTAAGTGTATAAACTCACAGAGTTTAAAAAGCTCATTACTAAGTAATGAATGGGACAAAGAAGAAATCAAGAGCAAAATAAAAAAAAAATTCTTGGACCTAAATTAAATTGAAGACACAACATAACAAAATCTCTAGAGCACATAAAATCAGTCCTACAAGAGAAATTTATAGATCTAAGTGCCTACATTAAAATGAAACAGAAAGAAATATGAACAAATGACTTAACAACACAGTCTTGATTTAATGCCAGAAATCAGAAAAAATACACATCAGAAAAACAAAATCCGAAGCAATACAAAAAATGATTTAATGATGCAAATCAAGAATTTGGAAAAACAAGAATAAACAACCAAATGCCTCCAATAAAGCCAGTATAGCCCTATGATCAAAACTAGGTAAAGACAACAGCAACAAAGGAAAACTCTAGGTCAATATCCCTAATGAACACAGACTAAAAAATGTTCAATGAAATACTTTCAGACAAAACACACACAAAAGATTATCTACCATAATTAGGTTGTCTTTATGCCTCAAATGAAAGTATAATTCAACATATATAAGTCAATAAATGTAATAAATCACATAAATGGACTTTAAGACAAAAATCATAAAGTCATCTCAATACATTCAGAAAAAAGCCTGTGACAAAAACCCAATATTCTTGGGTGGTAAAAAGTCCTAGAGAAAGCAGGACTAGAGGAAGCATAGCCCAGTGTAACACAAGTCATATTTAAAAAATCCACACATCATCATCTTAAATGGGGAAAGCAAGAAGCAATAACATTGGAGTCAGAAATGAGACATGATATTTAAATCCCACTCCTTTCTTTCTTTCTTTCTTTCTTTCTTTCTTTCTTTCTTCCTTCCTTCCTTCCTTCCTTCCTTCCTTCCTTCCTTTCTCTTTTTTGATTGGGCATATGATTTCTACTTAAGTTGTTAAATTCTACTTTCCTCGTTTTAAAAATTAAATTCAAAACTTAAATTTCTTGACAAACAGCAAAGACACTCTTGAAGTCCTCATTATTGTTGCTTTTCCTAACATTTTACTACAGATTTACATCTCTGAGTATGTGTGATTTGAACTAAATACAGCTGTCATCTCTCTCTGGAATTAGTTGCCTAACAGTGTGGATAACTACTTACACACTCATTAATTTCCTTTTCCTTCCCTTTCTTCATGTGTTCTTTGCTGTATTTTTTATTTTGAGTATACCAAACTCTGAGGGGATTTTGAGTTCACAAACACAATGTGAAAAATGGAAAGTATATGTTCTAGAAGGAAATAAATGATAGGCCCATGTAAAGAAAAGGAAATCCAATACTCCAGTTTGTTTCCTGTGCAAAAGTCTATGCTCTGAACAAGTTACAAATAGACAGCTGCAACCATAGCTCTTAAATTGGGAAAAAAGTGGGAGATAACTTCTGGTATATCTACTAACCAACATCTAATTTGCTGAGTAATTCAATAAAATGGTGATGTAAGTCATTCTTTTTAGGAGAGATGAAATAGTAAGTTGATTTTAGTGGCCATTTTCTTTCTTTTTTTTCAGTTTATTTTTAATTTAAATTAGAAACAAAATTGTTTTACATGTCAATCCCGGTTCCCTCTCTCCCTCCTCCCCTGCCTCCCCCTCCCCCACACACTAACACCCTACCTATCCTATATTCTTTCTGTTCCCCAGGAAGGGTGAGGCCTTCCATAGGGGGTCTTCAGAGTCTGTCATAGTCTTTGGGATAGGGCCTAGGCCGTCTCCCGTGTGTCTAGGCTGAGGGAGTATCCCTCTATGTGAAATGGGATCCCAAAGTCCATTCCTACGCTAGGGATAAGTACTGATCTACTACAAGAGGCCCCATAGATTTACTAGGCCTCCTCACTGACACCCACGTTCATGGGTGGATCAGTTCCATGCTGGTTTCCCAGTGATCAGTCTGGGGGCCAAGAGCTCCCTTTT